AGGATCCGCCTTTGCTCTTCTCTGTCATTTCCCTCCATATCAAAACTATCACAAAGTACTACCATTCTGTCCCCTGATATTCTCTTGTGCCCAGACACTTTACATCTCTAATTCCTCACCTGGATTAATGGAACAGACTCCAATCTGGCCTCCTTTCCTATTGCCCACACCTTTCATCTGGTCTCCCAATTCTAGTACTGATTCCCCTGGACTGTAATTATCTCCATCATGTCTGTCTCCTACACCAGGCTACGAGCTAACAACGGCTAGTGCTATATTTCATTTACTGTTGACCACCTGAACCTAGCACTGAGCCTGGTACATATCCAGTCAGTGTCTATTGAATAAATAAATGAATAAGACCAGAAATAATGAGCTTAAAATGAAAGGGAGTATTACAAAATGTTTGGAGGTAGCATTTGGAAAGGAAGAAAATGCTAACATTGTCTCCCAGTCCTGTGATAAATGAGGTCTGGAAGAACAGGAGGTTCTATTGAAATAGTGTTTGGGAAAAACAGGGAGGCCCCTCAGCAGAGGAACTCACCAGCTATGTGACTCTAAACAAGTTACTTCACCTTCCAGAGCCTCAGTTTCCTCATCTATAAAATGAATTTAAAATATCTACCTCATTGGACATGTGAAAATTGAATCAGATAATGCAAGTAAAATGCTCAACATGATTATCTGACTCAGTAAGTTCAGCCTAAGTGCTCAACAAATATTTAAGAAACAGTTTCAATTAAAGCCAAGAGGAAGCAGGAACATTCAGTGACTAGGCTAATGATGCATGGAGTTTAGAAGGCAGATAGGACTTGAGAGTGAAAAGGTATTAATAGATTGGATCAGGGGAAAAAGCTCAGAGCAGGATGAAAGAGTATAAGAGTGAAGAGGGTCTGTGATGGGTTCTGTTTTCCTTTCTGGCCCTCATTCTCAGTTTGTTCTTATCAGAACACCCAGACTTTCCTTGACGAACTACCACTTCTCCAGTCTCAGTCCACGTGGCCTAGGCCTACTACCTCTACCTCCATGGGAAGGCCTGTTTCCAAGACCTGGACAATCAGAGCCTCAAGGCTTCCTGGTCAGAGTGATTAGATCACAATGAACGGGATGGGACACAGCCAGGGCAATCAGAGACACTGAGTCTCAATTCCAGGCCATCAGAGCTGCTGAAAAAGAAGCAGGTCTTTTCGGCTGATGATGCCCTCAGAACAAGATGTAAGCCTGGTGGTGTTGGTAGCCATCTTACAACCACAGATAGGGAGCTACCTGAAAGTGAAGCCAACCCAGAGCAGAGCAGAACTCAGAGGCAGAGAGAGCAAGACCCAGTGCAGCTGGTACTGCCCATGCCCCCTAGACTCAGCAATATCTCCCTGGACTTTATTACATAAGCCATTAGGCTCTCTTTTGCACTTAAGCAAGTTTGAGTTGGGGGTTCAGTCATCAGAAACTACATACATGAATCTATGAGTCCGTGAGAAAAGTGAGGAACATTTGGCCCTATCCAGTCTCCGTTAATATATAAGGGTCCTGAGACTCACAGTGAGGAAGGGACTTGCCCATGGCATCAAAGCAGATTAGCAGCAAAGCCTGGTCTAGAACCAGGTTCTCCCAATTCCCTCTTCATTTTTTCTTTTCCAAAATTTTTGGCATCTTCAGGACACAATCCTGACCCTAACACCTACACTCAGGCCCAAGCCTCTTAGTCTGGCCTTAACCTTCCTTTTAGCTCATGGTTCTCACTACTGTGTTCTTTCTATCTCTTCTCTTTTTTTTTGAAAGTTCAATGTATTATGGTGATTGTTTCTTTCTTTCTTTCTTTGTTTTTTAGCTCCCACTTATGAGTGAGGACATGTGGTATTTCTTTCTGTGCCTAGCTTATTTCACTTAACATAATTTTCTCTAAGTTCATCCACGTTGCTAAAAATGGCTGAATTTCATTCCTTTTTATGGCACAGTAGTACTCCATTGAGTATGTATACTACATTTTCCTTATCTAATCATCTGTCAACGGACATTTAGGTTGGTTCCAAATCTTGGCTACTGTAAATAGAGCTGTGATAAACATGGGAGTGCAGGTAGGGGATCTGAACTCTTCACCTTGGTGTTATAACACCATGCTCTAACCAACTGAGTTAACCAGCCAGTCCAATGTACCCTTTTTTTAAGCTAACACAAATCATTTACTATGTATCAAGTACACATAGTAAAGCCTTTACATCCATGATTCTCATTTAATCTTCAAAAAGCACTTGAAATGATTTATAAACGTTTTATAAATGAGGAGGGTGAGGCTCAGAGAGGCCAAAAGCCAACCCAAGATCATACAGCTAATAAGTTGTACAGTTAAGATTCAAACCCAGGTCTGTTTGAGTCTCCGATACTACAGCTTGTTAGCCTGTTGTCCACAGACCCCTAAAGTATCCATGCACAAACTTCAGGGGGACAGTAAACTCCTTAAAATTAAATGCAAATGTATATATCTGCACATTTTCCTAACGGTCAGGTTCATATATAATATTGTCAGATTCTCAAAAGAACCCATGACCAAAAAAAGACTGAGAACTTCTGTGCTATACGGCAAATTCCTTGGGGTCTAGCCACAGGTCTGGCACATATAACAGACCTTTAATGAACTCAGTCAAGCTCTTCCATCTCAGCCACTCTATGAACAAGTTGCAAAGGCCTCAGACCCCACAGAGAAGCAGGCAAGCCCCCAGGAGCTGACCAGGACATGAGCCACTAGGATTCTCGTTTGGCTACAAGGAACCTTAAAACCCCTGGCAACCTCCTTCCAGTCAGCTAATCTTCACATTTCCCTTTTCCCCCTAAAACATTTGGACGCTTACTATGTGCCAGACACTGTGCTAAAAGCCCTCATATATTGTTTCATTTAATCTTCACAACAACTGCTCAAGATTAGTACTATTATAATTCTCAGTTACAGAGAAGGAAACTGGGACTCACAGAGGTAAGTGACCTGCTTTCTTTTATCTAGAGTCTGATGAGGAGTCTTGTCCTCACACATGAATGGCCTGCCAGGAAGGGATGCCAATGAGTTCATCTAAAAGAAAGCAGCCCCAATAGCTGACCAGGCCTGGCCTCTGGCAGGTTTTCAAACCAGAGCTGCCAGGGCTATGTCCAGGAGCTGCTAGCTCTCAGAGTGGCTGACAGGCCAGCAGGAAGACCATTTCCCAGAGCATTCTGTCTCAGAGAATGCAACTTCACTTCTGGCTCATTTGACCACTTGGTCTGAGCTGGACACACACAATTGTTCCCAGAACAAGCTGCACCACCCTTGCCAAGCCGACCTGGCATTCAAGTGCTGAGTGGATTACATCAGAGCCCCCAGCAACCCCTCCTCCAGGAGCTCTGTGGCTGGTCAGAGGTGGGGACTGAATTGGCTTCCAGTCAAATAGTTTTGTTAAGGAAACTATGAATATCCTGATAGTTTGTGCACATCTGTTTTTTTTGTTTTTTTTTAAAGACTAAGCTCAGTTGAAAAGGAAAAGATTTTCAAAAGAAAGAAAAAAGAAGCAAAAGGCTTTCGAACTTCTCTTTTCAAAATAAATGGTATGTATCCCCTACCCCGTACACATCTAGGCCTTTCCTGGTTTCTATTACATCTTATCAAATGACACTAATCCTAACTCCAGCCTCAATCTTCAAACTACAAGTTGGTTCCTCTTCAAGGTTCCTGCTATAAGAACTTCAGGGCTTCAGAGTAGAAGCCTGCCCAAGATTGGAGAAGCCTGGAGAGAGCTGGGCAACAGCGATGCACAGAATGAGCATTTCCGAGAGGGGAAGGCCCATCTGGAGGAATGACCCAAAGGGAACCCAGGCCCCATCACCCAGAGAGTTAGTCATGTACACTATGCAACCTCTAGGCCACTGTCCTTATTTGAATCCAGAAAAACAAGAAAGAAGAAGAAAAACTGTCAACAGCACCACTGGGCTTTTGTTTATCCAAAAGGAGGCCTGAAGGATGCTTTCTACTGAGGATCATGTTCTGGCAGATCTGGCTGAGAAGTTAAAAGTCCCACCCCCCTCAGTTGGTCCAAGTCTTCAATCATCACTCAATAAATAGGGATGCAGATCTTTATACCTGGAGCAAAGGTTTTGGTTAGACCAAGTCATTTTGGAGTAGTATGGGGCCAATGAACAAGTCGTCAGGAATTCACAGAAATTCAATTCAAGAAGTATTTTCTAGCACATCATTCAATCATTCCATATATATTTACTGAGGATATATTATATTCCTGACATTGGGCAAGGCAGTGGAGGACACAGTCATGAACTGGGTAGGCATGGTACTGTCCTCATGGAGGTTACAGACTGGCAAGGAAGGTGGAGACTACAGAGTTACACAAAATGAGGACAGATGAATAAAGGACTACATGGTGAAGTACAGAGTACAATGAGGGAATGCAAGGTGGGGAGACCTCACACCAGGTGGGGGTTTAGGGAAGGCTCCCAAAGAAGTGACAGGCTGAGATCTGATTGTGCATTAAATAGGGAGGAAGAATTCTGGGCTGAGAGAACAGCACATAGGGGCATGGTACATCAGGCAAGAGAAAGAAGCCTGAAGAAAGAGGGGGAGGGACAAGAGATGAGGCTGGAGGGGTGGACAGAAACTAGATCCACCATGCAGGACCTTGCAGAGCACATTAAGGTGCTCGACCATTAGCTTAAGTAAAGCTGGAAAACACTGAAGTGATTTAAGCACAGGGAAGTCATGTTCAGTTCTACCTGCTTTGTAAAAATGGAATGTAATGGCAAAAGAGTGGACAAAGGTGGGAGATTCAGAAAGAGGGGTTTCAACCTGGGGCCAAGTACCTGGAATTGGACCCTGGTGGGGCTCCCAGCCTACAGGGGCAACAGATCGCTATCTGGTCGGGCACATGCAAGGGGAGTTACTCACCTGGTTAAACCTCCGCGTAAAGGCCACGACGTTGGGGGCGAGACTATGTTTCTCCTTCTTACTCCATCCACAGCTGGCTAGTTCCTAGGAAGCACAGAGTCAGTTTCAACAGTGATTCTAATCATGACACAAAATACACCAGGGGAATCTAACTGGAACGTGGACATGGAGGTGTGAAAGGGCCAGAGCCTTGGCTATTCACATCTTCACCAGGTGGAAGATGATTCTCCTCCTCTGAGAGGAGGGCTGGGTCTGTAGGGAGAGGTGCATCCTGAGACCGCCAGAGGTGAAGATGAGAAGTGCAATACTTTGCCCACAACTCTGGCCACATTTCCTAGGATTTCGGTTACAAAATATTCTTAACCCCGCCACTGCCACTCTGTCAGCTTCTCTGAGAACAGAAGTCCTTTCTTACAATGCAAACTGTCTGAGAGAGGGCATAAAATGTGTTAACCAGCAGGACTCATCCCCCTACAAATGTGACTCCAGGGCTCCTGGCTAACTTAAAATTAAAATCTAGCTAAAGAATCTCAGATTTCATTGGCCACATGACATCCCTCCATTCCTGGAGTCAGGCAAGGGCCCATCTAAGCCCACTACAACCAGAGAAGCTTCTGGATTTGGTCCCTCCCATCTCTCACATAACAAAAGAAGACAGAAAGAAAGTTTCCCTTTAACATCTTGTTCAGGGGCCTTGTCTCTTCTCTTCCGGTAGGTTTAGCATAATAATTTGAAGACTCAAATCAACTAAATTTTACATTTCAGTAAGGCCAATTCCTAGTGGCGGGGTGCAGGCTGGAGATAATAGGAGCAATCTAATGGGATTATGTGGGGTATATAAAGGGACCAAGGAAAAGCCAAATGCCTGGCATTCTCAGCTTGTGCATCAAGGAGTCTTGACAGAGAATGAAGGAAAGGTAGTAGATTCTAAAGTGTTCTACCCCTAAGTTTCAAGACCTCCTTTCAATTCATATCAGGCCTATTATTAATTTTTTTTTTTTGCCACACACCTGAAACTTTTTTTTTTTTTTTAGTTGAAGATCTCAATTGGCTTTATTGCCATCCTAGAATTGGGCAACATGTTTTTCCATAAAACAGAATAAGTGTCCCCACACCTGAAACTTTTTAAAAGACTTTTAGTGAGAATCAACTGCCCACCAGCTGGAAGAGATGCAGATCAAGGGTCTACTAGGGAGTCAGGGGAATGGAATGGCCAAAGACAAAACATGCTGGTTGGGCAGTTATGTCGGAAGTGCCATGCCTGTCAAATGCTCTTAGGACCTGTGAAGGTTAATTCTAGATGTCAACTTGGTTAGATGAAGGAATGCTGAGAAACCTGGTAAAGCAATCTTTTCAGGTGTGTCCATGAGGGTGTTTCCAGCAGAGATTAGTATGAGAGTCTGAGTGGCCTGGGTGGGAACCATCCAATCCACTGGGAGTCCCAATCTTTTCAGGTGTGTCCATGAGGGTGTTTCCAGCAGAGATTAGTATGACAGTCTGAGTGGACTGGGTGGGAACCATCCAATCCACTGGGAGTCCGGAGAGAACAAAAGACAGAGGAAAGAGGTGAAGCTTTCTCTTGATCCACTGGAGCTGGGATATACTCTTCTCTGCCCGTGGACATCAGAGCTTGAGACTCTTCAGCTTTTGGGTTCCAGAACTTATACCGAGAACACCATCAGCTTCCCTGGTTCTGAGGCCTTTGGACTTGGACTGAGCCATGCTACTGGCATCCAGTTTACAGAGGGCCTATCGTGGGACTTTTCTTCATAGCCACGTGAGCTAATTCCCCTAATAAATCCCTCTCATATAATTATACTATATCCTATTGATTCTGTCTCTCTGGAGAACCCTGACTAATACAAGACCCAATTGTAAGCCATAGATAAGTGCTTGTGGGTAGCCTGGCTGAAGGCAACGGCATCTGGTTACAAGATGAATGATCTGGACTTGGGAACACATGGGAACCAACCAGTAGATAAGAAACACTTCTTCCTGGCTGCCTCACTTCTGTATATGGCATCACTCCCAGTCACCCACACGAGAGAACAAAACCACCCTTGGCCCTGCCAAGTCCTCCATACCCTCACAATTTAGACCTCAAGTAATAGTAATGACAGTAACATTAACTAATGCAATGATTCTGCAGGAATCCCCTACATGGCAGGTGCTGGACGAGGCACTTCATGTGTGTTACTTCATGTAATTCCGACCATGTCCATTTTAACAAAGAGGAAAAGGGCTCAGTGTTCATTCTCCTGAATAAATACTGTGATTTCATTTCTTTCAAAACCAGAAATGAATCTCTTTGAGATGTAGATTTCACCTCTGTTTACTCCTTGTTCCGAAAATGTGTACAGGGTACTTCAAAAAAGTTCGTGAAAAGATTTATATTATTTCTTAATCCTATTTTTCCATGAACTTTTGGTGTAATCCTGTATTTGTGTTTCATTTCAAGTATACATTTGACCTACCTCAGTTACATTTACTACCTCCAGTCCCTTTAAAACATATACTCAAATTATTTTTCAAATCTATATTATTGCCCTTTTAAAGTTTGTGAGGACAAAGGCCTCTCTCCCTTGTGGGTTCCAAAGCCAGTCCTGGAAAAGTATGGGTTATAATCAAATATAAAACCCAATTCATAAAACTGATCTGGAAGGACAGAGATGTGGTTGCTGCCCAATTTCTAGTGGATAGTTGCTCCCTTTGTATTTTTCCTGAGTTTTTAAATACACAGCAGAACTTATGTACATGTGTGTGTGAATACACTTAATTCAGAGTCTGCGGTCTTAGTTCCACACCATAAAAACTTAGGAAGACACCGGAAAGAGACGAATATGGACCCCACAATTAGAGAGACCCGGGTCAGATCCTGGCTGTCCACGCACCAGCTGCATGGTGCTTATCTTTACAGAACTTCCATTTTCTCATTTTAAAATGGGTATGATACTACATTTATCTGTGGAGCTCATTATAACGATTAAATGAGATTAAAACATACAAAGCAGCTAGCACATGACTGGTACTTGATAAAGCTTATCTCCCTTCCTCTTCTGGGGCATACTACTGTTAAGCAACAAAGGCAGTATTCAGACTCAGCTCTAACTCCAAACACCTTCTTCTTTTTACCACAACACACTCTTGTTGCTGTCTTAAATTATTAACAAAATCTATTATTTCTCTTTTATTTTGCTGATGTCATGAAGGCAATAACCAAAGCAGGTACTTAATACATCTGCCCTAAATTTATTTGATTTGAACATTTCTAAGTCCTTGACTCAAAAACTGTATGTGTAGTACTTGTGTTTCGACAATTCCCTAAGGAACCTTTTGCACTGGAAGACACTGGAAAACACGTAACATTTAAATCAAAACATCAGCAGAGTAAAACATTATGTTTGGGGTACTTTGAAATGGAAGGAGCAAAAGCCTTAAAGCTGAAAGACCTCACATGGAATCCCAGCCTCTGTCACTTATTTCCTGGGCAACTCCAGGCAAGTTACTTCTCTGGGCATCACTTCCAACACTGATGAAAATGAAGATGCTGAAAACTAACCCTGCAGAACTGCAGCAGAGACTGAAGGAGGTAAAGCCTGACAAAGGAGGGGACGCACTGGGCACAGGGCCTGGCTGACAGCAGATGCTCAAACAGCATTTGTTGAATGAATGATGTACGAGTGTTCCTCAGTGTTGAAACCTCCCCAACTCAGTGCAGGGAGATTTATCAAGATGTCAGAAGAAATAAGACCATTCTATCTGCAATAAAACAAGTGCTGGGCCCAACCTCTTTGGCACTGTTCCTCTTCTGTGTTTGGCTTTATAGGATTACAAGAGATTCCATCTGTGTGAAGTGGGTTTGGAAAATGTGAAGTAATATAACAAAACTCTTGCACTCACTAATGCCTAAAAAGGTCCATGCTATGGAACTGATTTAAGTGTAAGTAAGTTAAAATGATCAGAGGGGACAAGGTTGGTTCTAGAAGGGAGACAAGGGTTTGGGCTGAGGCTGGTAAGGCCCTGGTAGCTCTGCATCATTGGTGAGCCACATGGGCAGCCACATTTCCCCTCCGCAAGACACTGGGGCCCCCATATTTCCCAGGCCATCCTTGGCTCTGAGTTCTCAGCTAAGGTTGATTGGATGCGAAAAGAGACTAAGAGCCTGTACAGTCCTTTGCCAGCTTCTTCTGGGACCTCTCCTCTTTTACGTGGATGCTCCTCAGGTTCATCAAGAAAAAACAGAACCTGTGAGAAGAAAACTTCCTGCCACCAAACTTATAAATTTCTTTCATCTTCTCCCTCCCTCTGGCTTTAATGGAAGAGGGGACTTTTCCTCTCTAGGACACATTCTCCTTCTGGTCCCCAATCCAACCCTTCACCTTCTCAGAAGTCTTGCTCTGATGCCCTCTTTTTCCCCTGTATCTTCAACCTCTTCCTCTCCAATTTCTACTTTCCTGCTAGCATTTTAATGTGCATAGGCCCCTCCCACTAATAATAACAATAATAATAATAAACCTTTCCTAGACCTCTGTCTCCTCCAGCTCCTGCTCACTCACTCTCTTCTCCTTTACAGGCTAAGTTCGTGAACTCGCTTCCTTCTCCAACCTGCCTTTTCTGCCCCCTGCTCCCCTGGAACTACTCTTTCCTCTACAACTTCCTGATTAGGAGACCAGCACCCCTTTGCAGGCCCCTTGGCCACATCTGTCACTCTGTCCTTGCCACACACTCTATGTTCTCCTGGTTGTCTTGCCACTTCTCAGGCCCTTCATTCTCAGTCTTATTTTCCAGTTGCTTTTTTCTTTTCTGACACATGACCCCAACCCCCACCTAAATCTGTCCAGGGTCACCTTCTACATTCCTCTGTGTCTATATTTCTCCAGAAGATCATATATAGTGCCATGGCTTCAACCATGGGTGTCCAGTCCAAGTTACTCTCCTGAGCTGCAGACCAGGAAATCCAGCCACCACCCGGCCACACCTTCTTTGGTATCCCATAGGCACCTTAAAATCAGAAGGCCCAGAAACAAAAGGGTGTCCGAGCAACTGCCTTAAATAAAGCAACATGAGATTCATCTAGACCTTCA